TGCACATCCCTTTCTTCATGCCTGTCATTCGAGAAGAGGCTTAACTTCCACACCTTCAAGTTGGGTTGTATCAGGTTGAAATGACCCATTACCAGTGCCCGGCCTTTGAAAAGATATTCATTGGGGACAGTCGCATCTGAAATCCAGACATCTGGAGATGAAACAGTAACTGAGAGATGTGAAGGAAACAGAGCGTAGGTTTTTTATTCGTTTACATAGCGCTTTTAAGAGGAGCTATCTTTCAACACAAATTAGTTGGTGAGCCCCCACGATTACACGGCGCCTTTACACAACTTGTCTGAAAAGGGTGAAGTCTTTGGAGTTACCAGTCATCCATAGATGCATGGCATGAAATACGCCTTTGGCTAGTGGTTTCCCCACGACATCTCCCCATTCAATGCAAATATAGCCCAGTTATATGAAGTATCTTGCCGAGTTAGTCTCCACTTTAAATTATTAACAGCAATTGCTCATCAAATTCTTTGTTTGCAAAAATTCTGAGAGGTGATTTCTACTGCCGAACCTTCTTCAAGGAATGGGCACGAATAACAAGAAATTTGGTTATTATGCGGATACTTAAGACTCCGTCGTTGTTCTTCCGCTGCGCAATTTGGCGTCTGGGACAAAGCGACAGACCCCCAGACCATTTGTGAGTGGGCAATGCACTTTATCCTGGTATTATGATTAAAGACTCAGGGGCGCTATATTGGTAGCAGCTAAAGGCGACCACTATCCCAAAGGACAACCATCCCGATTAGTGTTACTGAATGTTAGACCTAAATGCGACGGAAGAGGAGAATCCGTAACTACCCCCAACAAAAGGGTTAAAAAAAAGTCTACCTCTGGCAGCTACAGCACTGTTTATGGCTGTACACCATTAGGAAATTTTCGTTTTGGAGCTCTCTGCAGTACCTGTATGAGGATGTCAATGAAGTGAACACGCGATACCTCCTTCACCTTTTTACTAGCTGGATAGAAGCTAGACAGATAAGGCTGGGCTGCAATGAAGTGAAAACAACGCGGCAAGGAGGAACAGATGCGAAACCTTACACTTACAAACTTTTTAAACCCCTCCTTACACTGTACAATTCTGCTTTTAGGCCGGTGTACTTACGACCAGCGGTAGACATACGAGATGACCAGCACGTTCCCCTTCCCTCAATGCGGTCCCCAAGAGGGACAAAAACTCCAGATCCAGTCGAATTGATAAGAGGGATTAGTGACGTTGTAGGCGAAAATTGCTTTCGATGCACGCAAGTTCAATGGCTGGTACTGTTGATTGTTTGGTGGGTGTTTCCCTTACAACACCGACTACTTTGCGGTCACCGATGCAGAAGAATGACCGAGGCTAACCCCAAAATGGAAAGGGGCTATGTAATACTTCTATTGTTTGTTTAATTTTCCATTTTGGTTGCAAGAGTCTTTGCGATTTTTCCCAGCTTCATGGCGACCAAGTCATGCCCGTAGCCCCTCAGCCCTTTTCTACGTGGAAAATACATTTTCTGTTCAAGTCTTTTGCCTTCTTTTATCTCCAGGGCGGTCTCGATGCTCTATTGATGCTTTTTCATTTTGCCACTAAGTCAAACTGGATTTGTAAAGCGAGGAAGTTTAAATTACATTTACTGTGTTTAATCAAATCTTTAATATAATGCTTAAAAATGAGACGAAAATAGTGTACGAAAGGATAAAGAATACCTTACTTAAGGAATGAGGCAATTTTAGGGGTTACAAGACCTACACATAAAAGGTCGCATTCATCGTGTCGGTTCTCAGGAATTAATATAGCAGTTGCAGCAAGTCACGACTGGTGGTGGTAATATTCACGTTCGTGTGTCAAGTTTTGTCGAGGAAGTTCCTGAACCTACCAGGTGGCTAGAACCAAACCAAGGCTAAGTTCAAAATATACAATGTGACCCATTTTGAAGGATTAACCAAAGCCCCTCCCGAATTATAGGGGGTAAGGAAGATGGATGTTGATGTGATTGTAAGAGTAATCGAGAAAATTTTTCCAAAGCAGCAAGCCACAAACAAGAATGCCACCATTGATGACAAGTATGCAATTATGCGCAAGCATAAACCAAGGAGCTTGTGACTTTAGGAAACCATGTGGTTATTTAAATAAAATTGTGGGGTTAAAGCAAAAACAAGGAGCTAGAAACAATTACTGGTCAGCAGAGAACTGAAACAGCATCATAGAGAAGTTACTGAAACCGCAGTTGAAGTCGTGATTAGTACTAGCAAGATAAAAGATGTATTACCAATTCACAGAAGGCCTGGAAGATAGCAGCTACCACCAATCTGGCCTCCACGTCAGGCATAGGAGCAAACCACTATCAAAGGAAAGAAGCTGTTAGTACTCACTATGACACAAATTGCATTTCAAGGTTGACTGGTTGCTTTTAGCCTGGAGACAGACGCCTCGAATACAGCGGTGATATCCACGTACCCAACAAAAGTGTCTCCAACATGAAAATCTATTCCAATGTTTCCAACATTAGTACCTTGTGAATTTCAGATGTCTACTTCCCTACGGTCAATGCGAAGGCAGAAAGAGGCTTGTGATGGTTTTAGGAGTGAAAGGAGTTGTGGGCTGAAGTACCTCCATCTCGCGTTGGCCACTAGATCCCGATATTAGTACAGTAATGAGTCCCGAGGCGTTGGTGTTAGACACTGGTGGGCGTTATGACTAATGTGGTGTTTGTTTGAGGTGGATGAATAGGGTTGTTGTATGGCCTAATGTTGTGGGGACTTGTAGGGTTTAGTACATGCGATTGTGGATATGCACGTATTGCAAAGAATAGATGGACATGCATTATTCTATCGATGCGCTTTTATTCGCCATATTATTTGTTACATTTCTTCCATTTTGCATCAACCTTCAAGCGATGGCTTATCAATGGAACGATCTCGATGGCTGTGTGTTGCATATTTGACATGATTGCGAATCTGAAGGGGTGTTTTATGAGATGCAATGTTTTACGGGGACAGCAGAAGGTGGATCAGCCAAACAATGGGGCTAGAAATGAGTTGAGCAATGTGATTTTTGGCGATGTCTTACTGGGAAATATGTGCATCAAATGTGGGAGGCCTCTGTTCTTGATAATAGTGTGAAGCAACCTGGCACAAGTGACAAGGTGATTAAAGATAAACATGTGGCATGGAGTTGCGTTAACAAGGAAAGTAGGGACGGTTAGGCGAAAGGGCACGATATAGCCTGAGTTGGCAGATGACCCTCAGTTGTTAAACAGTTTGTATTTCACCTTTTCCTTTCTTTCAAGCGTCACCCATTTCAGGTTGTCTGGTGGCCGAATAAATTAGTGGCAGGTAGAGTGATGCACAGCAGATGGAAGTGTCATTGATGCGCCTTTGAATGAAGGTGAACAAACAACCCTGGCTAAGATTGGCGTCCTAAAGATCACAACAATGCCGGAAAATCATCGTCTTGAAAACACAACAATACCAGTACCATCCAATCAATCAAGTCATAAAAATATGAAGGAGTTAACGAAAAGCCCCTAATTTTTGTAACCATATGACACAAATACTTCAAATATTTCAGGAAGATATTTCTACATTTTAAATTGGGCAACATTTTTGCTTAATCAAATGGGAAATTCCTCAATTCACTGTAGAACACCCGGCATCCCCTGAACCTCTAGCAAAACTTCAAATTGATTATTTGTAAAACAAAGGGAATAATCTTAGGTAATCACCCTGTTTTCTGATTTTCTAAATAAAGTGGTGCCTAAATTTAAGACAAGCCAATTAGTTTGTTCCATTTTACGAAGTAAGAGTAAAAGTAATCATTTACTACTTAACCTATCCTATTCAGTAGCGTATTACGACCCAAAAATGAGCATAAATTTTATGGAATGAACCCTTAATTTGGGTGCGTTCCTTATTTAATATAATCTATTTACCCATCTTTTAAGGTTTTAGATGGAAATTTTGAAGGAGGAATTATCAGGATGGCACCTAAAAGTCAAACTGGGTTTGAGATACAGAATGAATGAAATGAGGCAAAGTAAATGGTATTCAAGAGGCCACAATGACATTTTTTTCTCTCTGCATTTAAGCAATAATGTCTTTGCCTCCAGACAACCGTGGATTTTTCTTATTCCATATCTCCTACTCTGCCCTCCCCTTTCACCTGTAATTGCTCTGCCAGCACAACCCCACCGCCTTTTGTTACTGCCCTGGGCAACCAGCACATAGCAAGGGGTATTTCGTCGTACTGAGATCGCCTTGATTTTTTGTGTAATTGCAGACCATCGGAGGTGAAGACAGGTAATTGGGCATATTCCAGTACTTTAGTTTCCCACTTCTCCCCGCCCTTCCTTACGCTACCCCACCAAATCCCGTCTTCCACTCGAAACCGCCCTCCCTCCCCTACCCGTCCCACCTGACCGCAGGCGAGTGGAAATTCTTGCTTTTGGCTCACAGGAGGGGGAGAGAGGGAGAGTTTAGCTGCGAAAGAAAGCAGGAAAGCCCTATAATTACTACTCTCTGGGTGCGCGCAAGCAGGCTCTTTGCCCAACTCTCTCCCCATCTTCCTTGAGGGGATGGATTTTTAAGAAGCACAAGAATCCACAGGTAGGCAGAGCACGTGCCTCTGTGTATGCGTTTCAGTCTTTTTCTACTTCATTTTCTTCCTCCAATATGCAATACACTATTTCTACTACTCCTTATCCACGCCTACTTGTTTGTCCTTCTAGTAGCTATTGAAATGCCCGAATGTCGAGTAAACCAGCAACACTACTTTAGTGAGATGGAACTAGCCAAAAAAAAAAAAAAAATAAAAGCGGACACTTGACGAGGATAAAGCACTCATGAGAATATTTTGATGGACCTCCATTACATCATTAAATACTTAGGCGTTGAATACAAATGAGGTTCATTTCAAACTGGGACATTCGACATTAGAGGAGTACGTAAAGGGGGACCCCATCAAGATGGTACTATGTGCAGCCACAAGTGGTAACTAAGCCATATAGCAGGCATTAATACTCAACAAAATTGTCTTTTATTAGTCCTGAGTCGTTAGCCAAGGTAACAGCCACCGATGGCAGAATACCGTACGGCAACGAACGAGGCATCCCGTCAACAGTGGTACAAAACCCGAATTTGAGGACACCACCTCGTGCAAAGGACTTCAAGCACAGCGCAGCGATAGAGCGCTTGACAGTAAAGCCCTCCCACAGTGGGCATGCCTGAAAGATGTCTGCGCGTCTGTCATTTAATGGTGCAGGAATCGTTTTTGCTACACACTCGAGGAAATAAAAAAACTCTTGCTAAATTTGTCACGATAGGTCATGACCACATGAAATCCCCAGAAGCCGCCCCGTCATGGGCACTGACAGATGCCGAGGCAAAACAGGCTGCTTCCTAGGTCTTGGCTAGACACCGGCTAATGTGGTGTAAACTAGTTGAAGGTGGAAGCGAAACGTTTTTGCATACAGCACCCATGAGGAGGGAACAGTGTCCCCTCATACGATGGGCGTTTAAAGGCAAGGGACGTACGTGGTGGAAGCATCCCCTTCATCTCTCGCGTGTAGAGGTCACGACCACAATGTGTCCTGAGGAGTCTAAAAACAGCCCTGCTACTAAAGTTGTGCACCCAGAGCTCTCTCAACGTCCATTTAAAAAAAATTAATGAATACAACCCAAAGAAGTTGCAGGCAAGCCAAATCAAACTACTTCCCAATTGTTTCTGTCTAAGTAAGCTTTACAGATTGTTGGTCATGACCCAGACGCTTAATTCCCAATCCCCACTTCATACCCAAGACCCCAGGGGAGAAAAAAGCACAGCAAGAGGACAGCCTTTTGTCATACATAATTGTCACAGCCTACACAGCGTGTGTAATAATAAGGTAATAATAAGGATTACTGTCATTACCAATAATAATGTCAGGATAAACTGAAAGGGGACATTAGTAGGCTATTCTAGAAAAAATAAAGCATACATACACACGCATGTCAAATTGAAAGAAGGTGGAAATAGGGGGAGGGGAGAAGAACGAAGAAGGAAGGGAGGAGGTAAGGCCATTGCAGTGATCTTCTTGTTCGTTTGACACACAAAAATATAAATTGATACCTAAGCGTCTGGTTCATCATAACTCCAGGCGGCTTATCTACCGCCTGACACTGTGGCGGCACGTCGGATTCGAGGTGCACCTGGCTGTCTCAAAACTACAAATTTCGGACAAGGAAGAAAGAAAATAAAGGTTAGTTTAACCAATTGAGAGCACAGGGATTATGGTAATTTCCCTCATATTCCCCTTCTCCAAAACAGCTCCCAAATAGGACAAAAATCTAAATCCAATGAGATTGCCAAGAGGGATCAGTGACACTACAGTCAGATCTGACTCAAGTGCACGCAAATTCAGTGGCCGGATGGGCGGATGGTGGGTGATTTCTTTCAGTACGGACTATGTTGTAAGGGCTCACGACGTCAAAGTTTGATCAAGAGGAGCGCTGGGGACACGTGCTAGAGAATACTTCGATTGTTTGTTTAATTTTTTTTTTAACTTCGTGGGCACCTAAGGCTCCGCAGTTGTACTTCCGCAGGGTGGCATGGTCTCCGACCCACGCCAGTAGGCCCCAGCAATACATATTTCCCCAAGTATTATGCCCGCTTTCATCTTCAGGGAAGTCTCGAGGCGCTACAGTATTCACTACCCCAATTTGCAGTGGATATTTCCAAATTCTTTTTAATCAAAAGCATTGTCACGGGTTAAAAGATAAATGAGAGGCATCATTAACTAGTCGGTGCTGTTAAATGGACGAATTTGCAGCACCTGGGAAGATGCAGCAAGACTTCATGATCTATGTAGAAATCTACGCCCAGGCAATGAGGATGATTGTCAAGCCCTGACTCAAGGCAATTGCCCACGTATTCCAGGAAAAGTCTACTCCTTCTCTTTCAGCCTGTGCGATCCTGGATTGAGCCACCTGACTTTTGCAAAATAGCGTTATCCCCAATTAATTTTGATCTGCACCCCCGAAAACTACTATTGAGAGGATTACAAAAGGGCTGATGATGGCAGCATCTACCTTGACCATCGTGAAGAGCTAAGGTTCGTCTCAATCAATCACTTTCATAACGGAAGAGAAAGAGAACGAGGAATCTTACTTAGCAATATTAATAAATTAAATCGACAACTGCATTGAGATGTTACAAATTATTTTTAGGTAGGCATATCAAGGCAAAAAATAATATTGGCCACAAACCAAGAGTATCCTTAATTATTCTACTGTTTCAACTTAAAAGGATCTGCTTATGACACAAGTCTTGGTGCATCACACGCCAAATATTTGTGACGGGGGATTCAGATAAAAAAATAGGGGTGTCACATATGTGTGACGCCAAAAGGTAGCACTTTAAACTGTGGAAAAAATTACAATAAGTTAAACTTTTCAGGTAGTTGGTACCCACCTGGAGACTTAAAAGGTTTCTCCGACTCTGCCATCCTATGTAGTACCACCTTCCTTTCTTTAGGGCGGGATCGAGATCCCACCGTCGTCAACGTTACAGTCGTCGCGTATTTTCCAGATGACAATGGGACACGTTTTGCGGAAGACCGTCGCGTTCCTAAAGTTGAATTTGTGTCTCGAGGGTGAGCGCTGTGACCAGACACACTGAGACCATGGATTTCGCTTAATTCTCCTCCTTCTCCCTGTGTGAGTGGTCGCCGATGGCCTCTATCATCTCCTGCCGCCTCCCGGTTAGTAGTTGGGACAAGGGTCTTAGAGGCGGTGGTCGAGTGAGTTTTTGCAGCGGTGCTATCGCTGATAAAAGAGGCGACGGTGGTGGCTGCGTTGGAGGAGTAAGGTCCTCTGGTATCCAAAGATGTGGATCGCGCAATTGAGGGTAATGTAGTTGCTGGCCTGAATTAAGGAGGGAGGAAAAGGTAAACCAATTGGATTTTGACTTATATTGATATCAATATTTTAATTTGACAAGCGACTTCAATATCTTGATCTCAATTACACAGGCAAATTAGAGTTTTACCCTCTCACAGCGGATTTGGACGGACGTCGTCGCAACGAGTTATCCAGAGAAGCAGTTCGTGGAACCCTTTCCCGTTGTGAATTTCCTGATAGAAGAGATTTCTGTTTGTACAACAGAATGTAGCCTCCCATGTCGCAGTTTCGTCTTGTACGTCTATCTACTACGACTGCAAGGACAGAAAATAAAGATAGTATATACTACTGAAATCATCCAAAATGTTAATCAGTGACAAATTTAAATTATGTATTGACGAAACGGGATATTTCAGACTTTCGCAATTTGCCCTTTAAGATGGTGACATGCGGATCTTTTCGTGATAGCTCAAGTTTCTTGTAAACCAAGATACCAAACCCAAGGCTAGTGGTGTCCGCAGAAGGACTCAAAAGTACAGAGGTGGGACGTTAAACTACAAATAGACGTCAAACACTCGATTATAGACGCATGACCAATGCCTAACCAGCCATGGAAGTAGACGAGAAGCAAGTATTTCGATGGCAAAGATGACCACAACCATACACAAACATTTACCACTTCGGGAGGTTAGTGCACATTGGGTGGTACCTAGACAGGCAGACTGTCGCGGACTGGTTCAACTACACCGACAAATCTTCATGTCACAGCATCTCTTCAGTTGCAAATTAAGAACTGGGATGAGTGTAATAGCGTAGCAGATCACTTGACCCCTTGAAAACCTCTACATCAAACCCTTATGACTCACAATGTCTGCAGTGTCGATGGGATCATGCCTAGAACTTATTTAGCAGCTTGAAAGGGTTGATATGACTGACCTTTAAGAGTATCCTCAAGTACACGAGCCGTAAGGTCAGAAGTCACTGCGGTGGTAGGAGCCATGCAAGGACTGGCGTTGATCTCGATCAACCAAGGGCGAAGATCGTCTGCAGTTATCATGAAATCGGCACCGTATAGTTCAAAGGAGCCCTTCATTTTCGAAAAAGCAGATGGATTTAGGATGCAGCAGGTTTAGTAAGAAATGTGTTTTAAAATCTGTTGAAGAAAAGCGCAACTTTACACCATGCAAATTGTGGTACCGTCGACCGTAAAGATGGTAGCATGAAACTTTGTTCCTAGCTTTTGTCCTACCAGAATTTCAGTCCCAGACTTGCATGCTTTATAGTCAGTGGTAACCTTGGAGCCACACTGATGGTAGCGTTGTAGAGTACACTAAAACCCTTTACTCTTTCCAAAGAATAATACCAGCTTTCTTCGGCACTTTGAAGGGATCTCGTATCTAAGTTAATTTAACAGCCAGTACAGAAAAGGACAAGGTGCTGGAACCAAGTTGTCTTCTGGCTACCACCTCAACCTCAGGAGTTTGAATTCTAAATAAGGGAATCGTCTTGCCCATTTTTGCTAAAAATTGTAGACGATGTACATGAGGGGAAGGTCTTTGACCGCCTATTGCTGCGATGCTTTGAATGGAGGACTTTTAAGATAGTCGTGAGAGATCAGGAGAGCAAAATTGCGATGTAGCTCCATGAAACCTACTATCCAGCAGATATTTTAACAACCGGTTTTTCGTTATCCAGAAGCGATTTCGTTTAGTAAGCGATTGGCATAGTAAATGCTCTCAGAATCCGGAAATACATCGTCAATGAGTCGTTGCAACACATTTTCCAGATACGATGAAATATTCTTTTGAACAGGATCATCAGATGGGGTAGTACCATCTTGGCATCTCACGTACCACAAAACATCGCTTCAACAATCTTTTAATTTAATAAGAAATGTTTGAGTCGGAGTGCTAAGAATTAATTCAACAACTTTTCCATCAACTTAAGCGTTATCTCACTTCTGCATACAAGAGCACAGACACTAAATCTCCCTTAAGTGGACAGGAAATTTAAATGCAACAAATCATCTGGCGCGCATTTTTGTTTTGCTCCACTTAATGGAAGAAGAAGGGGAAACACAACAGCTGTAGACTTTTGACTTTCGAGCTCAAAGTGATAAAACGTGTGTTTTTGAGTCTGTTCTCTTACCCCCTCCTCTTCCTCCTCCTCTTCATGCTCATACAACGTGGAAGCCCACAAAAGTGAGACCAATTATTCCCCCTCCTTCTCCTGCTCATCTGCCTCTGCCTCTTTGCCTTTGAGCAGGAAAGGAGGAGAAGGCAGGGGCAAAGGAGGAGGCAAAGGAGAAGAGATTTCCCACCTCACCTTTCGAGGATCAATCGCGTCCTGAGAGCAGAGCATTGAGTTGATAATTTCCTTCTGCATCTCCGGCAATATTCTTCGCTCCCAGACATGTCTGTGACCCAAGTTTCTGTGCGTTAAACAAATACACACACGTGTAGGAGATGACAAGCCAATCAGATTGGACATAGAGGGAGTTAGAGGGAGAGAGAAGGGTGGGATAAAGTTTCAGTCCCACTGAGTGTATTTATTTCACCTCCAAGAATCGCCCATCAAAACTAGGAACCGATGCGCGATAACAACAAGGTGTCAGTCCGTCTATTGATTTTGTCTCCTACCTTATGTAATCAGTATTTTTGAAGGATACCCATAAGAATTTATGGCATTTCTTTGATTGCATTTGCAGTACAAGTTGATTTCGGGGAACTTTTAAATGTACAAATATTCAACTTTTTAAAAAATACAGCATCTCCAAATTAATTTAAGAGCTTACTCCAAATAATGTCGGAACTCATCCATGTACCACATGTTTTCTGTGGGTAGTAGAGGAGACCTTTCACCATTTTTAAACTTTTGGGAGACTGCGTTGTTTGAAAGATGAACGTCTCTAAAAAAGGCAAGGAAACACTTCATTTTATCCAAAAATACCAACAATGGCCACATAGCCTACTTATAAAAAGTAAGTACCACGTATTTCTCCATCGACACTTACACGCCAAGGCTATCCAGAGTGAATTCGCGAGAACAAAATCGTAGGTAACACTCCTTATACCACCAAATAGTTAAGGGTTGCCAATCGGATATCAGGAACCATTGTCGAATGTCAAACTTCGTGTTGTATACTAGAAGAGGACGTTCGATGTACTTTTGCACCACGAATCTATTATCTACACTGCCACCGCTCGGTGCTACAGTGAGAATCGTCTCGATGTTCGAATGACAGGTTATACCTTGGAAAAACAAAAGATAAGTCAACTTGACGTAAAAAATTGTGTGAATTGAATGGATTTACGGATTGAAAACGCTACCTCTTCCACGTGATTTTGAGCCTGGTTTTACAATCCAAATATTCCTTTGTCCATCTAGCTCGAATTGAGGACAGTAGGTCTTTAGGGAATCGCAAAGTCGCCTACTCTGTCGAGTGATTTCTTCTTCTTTGGTAAACGGTGAAGAGCGTCTAAATGGGGGACAAAGCTGCTACTATTGATAAATAAGTAGGCGATGTGCTTTGACATCTAAAAGGACTCATAAAACATTTTCCCTATTTTTTTACAAACCAATAATGACAGTCAAGCTATTGGGTTAACTTAGTAGGCAATTACAATTGGGTAAACATTCAACTGCAGTGGGATCAACAATGCTATTACCCGTGAGTAGCGTAAAAGCAGGTAAGGAAGGACTCCCATTGTGAATCCGTAAAAACCAGTGACTAGAGTGAACAAAAATGGGAAAAAAATGACAGCATTTCTGGGAAATGATAGGTGAAAAAAGTTAGCTTCAGACACGCACAGGCACTTCCGAGCCATCCCGGCGCTTGGTATGCAGAAAATGCTCACACACTAACAGGGCCATGGAAACAGCCGTGGTGGGGGTTATGCCTTCCCTTCCGTTGGCAACCCTGGCCTTGTTCCCCGCCGGTCTCACGGGGATCTTTGAATCTAGAGCGGAAAGCGCAGTAACAATTCATTGGATCATTTAAAGTCCTCCCCTTAGAATGACAAAACATGGTCCTGCAAGTCCGCCTTTTGCAGTGATCGTCAAGACTAGAAAAACGGCAATTCAAAAGTAAAGAGGAGTTGGAAAATGAAATTATTAATAAACAAGCAATGAAAACAAGGTAAAAGGACAATTAAGTTAAGTGCAAGAGGGGAATGTTTGCTCTCACCCAGCTTAGCGCTCATAAAACGCGGTGGAGTGCTGTAGTAATTGCAGGCCCATTTCAACATGCACATAGCGGCGGTTAGACGGAATTCCCCTAAAAACAAGGGGTCGCATCACATGGTGAAAATCGGAGTGGGAGACCTATGTTCCCAGATTACTGAGTTGGTTCACAAGAAGATATTTCTAACTCAATCCCCTCAAAAAAACGCAAAATCACTTGAGATGACTTCCCGTAAGGCCTTTTTTTCTGAAAAAAAATGGGCAGAAATACGTGTAACCGCTATGCTTACCAATGAACCGTGTACGCTCCTCCTCCAACGAGACAATAAAGCACCGAGGAAAGATGTAGTCTTCATTCTTCTCACTGTGCTGGCCATAGTGTCGCAGTTGTCGACACAACCCAATCTAAAGGGAGTACGAGGGCTCACAGTTTTGAATTCTCTGTCCTGAGTAAAATCACCTGACATTTTCTTTTACTTCCAATCGACCCACTTATTTGTAGCCAAGTGCAAAGAGGCACAAATACGGTGATTGGGGCAAAACGAAGGGGAGGAGGGAGGGAAGGACGGGGAGAGAGGGACAGGATTCACAACCCAAGGTCCATTAAAACCTAAGTGCTGCTACGTTGTGTATGTGTGTGTGCTAATGGAACGGGCGACGTGGAACAGAGGCACCTCCATTCAACACAGTCCCACCAGTGAAAGTAATGTGTCAAATAGTATTTGTATTACTCAATTGGAAATGTAAAGGTATGAATATACTTGGAGAGCGAAATCCTAACTGAAAGAAGCGAGACACTTCACTATTCCTTACGCAGCAACTTTTTCATGGAATAAAACAAATTACCAGTAAAAGCATACAGGAATAAAGTTTGAGTTTTTTCCGCAAATACATAACTTAATTCGAATTTTTGGGTAATTTTTTTAAGTCGTGGTACAAAAATACCGATACTACTTACACTTAAACAGCGTCTACACTTATTGAGAAGACGATTAAGCAAAGTCGTGACACTGTTTTTTTCATAATTTAAGGGAAACACAGAAAACCAATGACTTTTAAATTCTACTTTATTTCAAAAACGGCTTTTGTTCAGAAGGCGAGCAAGCCTAGACCTAGCTCTAGTCAATTCCGCTTTTCCATCCTTAAACCAAACTGCAAACTCTATTTCCCACCGGTCAATTCTACATCGCATGTGATTATGTGATTGTAGAATTCTAATGCCAAGAAAAAGTGATAATCATCACTTGGGGAAATGTCAGTCTCCATATCGTAACGACACGCAAAAACGCCCTAGAAAAAGGGGAGACTCTCCCCCTTCACCGGCTTTGAAGACAGCGTATTGCTACATGGCACGAACTCATGTGCCTGGATTAATCTCCCATGAGAGGTCTAACTTATGTCCCCGTTTGCCTATCCATGCGTAGCCTGGGATTCCCATACCATGGTGGTTTAAAATGCCGTATGATATGGGAAGGGACTTATGAAAATAGTTTGAAACGAAAGCAGTGCATTACCTATGACTTCAGGCAAAAGTGAAATTAGAATGAAAAATCGCATCCAAGGTCTTCTTAATCGTGTCAAAAGATCTACAAACTCATTTTAGATTTCTTATCAAATAAATAAGTCGGCTTTGAATCATAAATTGATGATCTCCAAGTCAACAGGGGGTAGTAATTCAAAAGAGTAGGAAGTAAGGACATCATTTTTGTCTCTCAGAAAAATTATTAACCATGATGCATAATATAGTTATGTAATGCCTCGACTATTTAACACCCAGTTCTAGTTGCGAGGGCAGTAAAGCCTTCCCTACTGTAGTGGAAAAAAATGTTCTATCACAGTATTACACCAACTTTCGTCGTCAGGAATGACTCGGAGAGCTAAATGGGTGGCATAGAAAAGTAAACCTCATCCCAAAGGGCAATCACCCTGATTTATGTCATTGAGCGATAAACCTCAGCGCGATAGAAGAAGAACATAGGCTGTGGATGGGAGAATGCGTGATGATCCCCAACGGAACAGTTGAGAATGTTGTCTACTGTCGGCAGCTATCTCAGTCTCATGCTCTGCGGAAACGCTATTAACAACTGAAGCGACACTAGCCGTAAAAATCATCTGGAAAAGTTCGTTACGGAGCTGTTGGTGGTAATTATATGAAGGTTTTAATTAAGTAAACATGCAACACCTCCTTCACCTCTCCACCAACTGCATATAACCAAGATAGACCATTTGGCTGGGCAGCACTAAAGTGAGAAGAGTGACAAGGAGAAATAGACCTGAAACCTTATCCTCATAAGATTATTTCAAACACCGTCATGTATTCAATGACTCTGCTTTTAAGTCAATGTTCTTACGACTAGCGATGCATATGCAAGATGGCTTGCGCATTGCCCCTTCTTCAATACAAATCCTAAAGAGGACGACACTCCAGATCCAATGAAATTAGCAAGGGAGATCAGTGATGGTGCAGTCTGATATCACTGCGACTGCACGCAAATTCGATGACTGGCGCGGTTGATTGGTGGATAATTTACTTACGGCACTGACGACGCTGTGATGGTTGCTACAGGAGATTGACCAAGGGGAGCGTCAAAGAAGGCACTCGAAAGTAGAGGGAAGCTGTAAAGTACTTTGATGATTTGCCTAACTATTGGTTTTGGTTACGGAAGAGGTGAAAGCTTCGTGATTGCACTTTCACGGGGTGGTATGGCCTCCAGACCATGTTAGTAGCTTCTCAGCCCTTCCATACGTCCGTACATCCTAGTATTATGCCTTCTTTCGTCGTCAGGAAAGACTCGGAGCACTACAGTTAGACTGATATACACACAACGCTCTGTAAACTTCCAGAGACACAAGAGGATACTCGGCAAATTTGTTTTGGACCAAATATTTTGCTTCACTTCAACTGCACACACATGCAAGGGGAAAAGATTTGGTCAGCTTTTATGTTTTTTTTTGGAAAAAGAGTGAACTCAATCAATGAACCACCGTGCCATTTATCGGTAAGTTTGCATGTTGTTTTTTTGGAAAAAAAAAACTCAAATGTAGAGCGCATCATTAATTTCACATGGATTGGTGTCACTAACAAGGCGTAGAATCATAAGGAAGTACTTTAGCTGCGGCATGAAGCAGCTTTGGCTGACTAACTTCAGAACCTTTACACTTCATATATTGGGATAACATTAACATGCCTTTTAAAAACACCAAAAATATACCGGAGTTGAGGTCTGGGCACACTGACTGGTACATGGGAAAAAATTAGGTCATGTCCAGTGAAGAGAGTGTTACATTATCCTCTCTGAGTTTAAGAAGAGGGCATGTAGTATTTATCCGAAATCTGCAAAATCTTTGTTTAAGCTGGAGTTCTGACTCTACAGTTGCTCGGGTCAGCCCATCTGGTTTAAAATTGGATCATATTTAGCTAAATTACGAAAAAATAAAAAGCAATTAATGACCTCATAAACTTTGCGTTTCTGTTATTCCAAAAGACTGGCGCGGCATTTAAAGTTATCCTAAGAAAAGACAAAGTAATTATGGAGGAGTCTAAAAGTAAAAAAAGATCGTAAATACTCACACACGATTTGCAACATTGATAAACCCTATTTTTTACACCCCTTTTGTCCAAAATTAAGTTCAAATAGAGGTACTTTAAAACGACCGAAAGTAGGAAGAATTCACCCACCATGAAGACAAACATTTGGGATAAAAAATATAAGCCGCTGACCAAAAATTTCGCGAAAAATGACATCTTTTGAATAAATAAATAGCAATATTAGCAACCAAATTTCTCTCCAATTAACCACTGTAGTAAAATACATTCAAGCCCTTCTAAATTACCCCATCTTCAACCACTGTTGGCTGGATTGGAGGTTACGGGAGGCTCACCCCCTTGCCTGGATAAAATCGACAAAAATCTAGACGCCGAGAAGCAAATTACTTTCTCAAATTCAATTTAACCGGGAAGGAAAACCACTTCCTTATTGAAATGAATTGTGCATCCAGCATATAACTTTCGCCTGGTAGTACTCCATGCGTTGCCTTTTGGGGGCCATCCTCACTCAAACGTGGTAACTCCCAGGCGTGTCCAAGAGGGAGATTCAAGTGATTTATCAAGAGGCAAGGGAAGGCAAAAAACTTCCTTTCCTATTTTTATTGTCTACCAAGAAGAGGGTGAACAGAAAAACGTTTTCACTACTACGAGAGTTGCTAATTTAAGCAGCAGGTTGGTGTTAACCCATCTTTAGAATGCGAAACAAGCATAAAGAGATTTTTAACCACTTAAAATAAAATGTAGGGGAGAAAAAAAACGTCGGTGAATTCATCAATCAAACAAACGACTGCCTCTTCGTGTTTCAATAATAATACCATACCTATAAAGTGGTACTTGTGTGCCCTTCGTTTCGTAAAAAAATTGCATTTTCTATATACTTAAAAACTTTTTTTGAGAAAGAGAACTAATTCCACCGAGGACGCAAAAAAGGACTTTTCTACTACTTTTGCTTTTATATTGCAAATAAGATTGTTATTGGTAGATTGCAACTCGCTTGAGAGATTGCAATTAATCCCGTTCCAAGATAATGTTGTCACGGATGATTGCACTTGTTGAGGATTTATTTATAGAATACTTGACCTCAAAGCTTGATATGTGGTAAAAACAGAGGCAGTAGTTAATTTCTGAAATCTAAAATCGAATATTTAAAACCTTAATTTTTCGTTTAGTCCTCGATTTCGGTAATGGGTCACTTTAAGCTCCGCTGCTGTACCTCCGACGGGTGGCAAGGCGGTACATTGGTGGCAGCAGAAAGCAAACCAGATCCTAGAAGACAACTATTCCGATTTCAATTTCTGAGTGTGAAACTTTGACGTGACGGAAGAGGTGCATACGCTGTGGATGGGAGAATCCGTGACGACCCCTAACAAAAGAGATGAGAATGATGTCTACTTTCGGCAACTGCCACCACAGTCTCCTGTTCTGCAGTTATGCTAATAACAACTAAAGCGACACTATCTAGAGAAGTTTGTTGCGGGGCTGTCTGCGGTAGCTGTACGTAGGTGTCAATGAAGTGAACAGGCGATGCCTCCGCCACCTCCCTACTAGTTGGAGAGAATCCAGGTAGACAGATGTGGCTGAGCAGCACCGAAGTGAGAACAAAGTAGCAAGGAGGGATAGACATAAAACCTTGCCCCTACAGAACAATTTCAAATCCCGTTCTTTATTAAATGGTTCTGCCTTTAGGTCAGTGGTCTTAAGACTAGCACATCCTCCCTTCCTCCAATGCTGCTCTGAAAAAAGGCAGAACTTCAGATCAAGTAGAATTGTTCAGTGGAAGCAATAACTTTGCACGCAAATTTGATGACTGGCGCGGTTAGTTCGTGAGTCTTTGCCTTACAGCACCGACAACGTTGTTATGGCTGATGCGGGAGGTCGACCAAGGGCAGCGCCAGGGGCGATGCTCAAAGGATGAGAGGGTGTATGTAATACTTAGGTAGTTTGCTTAACACTTTGTTTTGGATGCGTGGGCACTAAAGGGCACGACTTTAGTACTCTTGCCCAGCAACATGGCCTCCGGGTTATGCCTGTAGCCCCTTAGCCCATCTGTGCGTCTAAAATACACACTTTCTTTCATCTTTTGGGAAGTCTCACCGTGCTACACTATCACTTGCGTTAATGTTTCTTCTGATAAAAGGTTTCTAATTTTTCTTTGTAGGGAAAACCGCTCAAATAAATACCGTAAATGAACTAAAAGGGTGTTGATCTCGTAGTATTAGGTAGCCGTACAAAAAATTAACCTCAATCCGGAAGTATTGTTTTTTAAAGAAGGAAAATTAAGATATTAGTCAAAACAAGAAAAGAAATCGCCAAATTTAATGTTAGCGATGTTTCAGACAGTAAATTTGGGCACTTATACGCATGACGTTGGACAATCAAAAAGCTCCATCAACGGAGTGTATCAAGTGGTAGCGATTTGTTAGGTACATACAGCTGCCTCTAAACCTGCTTCGTAAGGCCTGGACATTCATCTGTGCTCCAGCGCTCTCTACTTGTCATATCATTTGAATTTGTCTGCTCCCCAATCCAAGTTAAGCACGGCTCTGGAGACGAAGCAGAGAGTCAATTATCTACAAATTGGGATACATAGCTTTTGGAGAAGGCGCGGTTGCACAACACACTGGCCAAATGATGGCGCAACAAGTTTGGAATGACATCCTCTTTTCGAAGTTACTGCGGACTTACAAGTGGTCATGTATTAAAATGATTTGAGCTTATCGTATCAAGACTAAGTTCAAACGCACATCAACAGGTGGAGGTGGGGAAACAAACCAATTGAGTGCCGTATGCTACGGGTTAGCAAATAAGAATAAGCTTCAAAAATCACACTTCTTTGCCTCCTTCCCACGCCCCTCCTCCGTACTTCCCTCCCATTTCTCCAAATGATGATTAGCACCTCTGTATGGCATCAAATAATCGTATACAAAGTAGAGTGGGCGCTTGGGTAGTGAAAGTGAGGCAAAAGTAGAGATGGTTAAAGCAAACTTTTTCCTTCTAGAGGCAAAAAGTATTATACAAGTAAATCTTGCGGCAAGTTTGTCGCCTATTGAAAAAAGGTGATAAACTGGAATGATATATTCACAAAAAGAGCAGTTTAGAGGTCCTTCCATGATCATTTAATCCTCTTCGGCCTATATGGCCGACTTATGCTTTCATAAGATCACAGTACAAAGAAATTAAGCTCTCCAAAGTACTACTAGGCCAGTATGCATTAAAAAGACTTGGCTTTACAGGACTTGGAAGACAAAATAATAAAAAATAAGCAATGTTTACTTTGGTTGTAAATGGGGCCTTTATATGATGATTGACCAATTGATTGGGTCGTAGAATACGAAAGTCAATATTCGCCTTCTTTAATGACCAGATGAAATTTGGCACTGCGTTCCTCACATTCCTGCCCTGTAGGAAATTTAAAGACAAAAAAACAAATTTAGACCCAAGCGCTTTGCGCTCAATAACAGGAGGTTAATAAACGCAGGGCCTTATATAAAATATTTGTCCTCAATGCCCTTCTAACCGGTATCTGCGATTGCAACCAATGAAAATGCACTCGGTTTTAGTAACCTTAACGAAAACTTCAGTTACTCCACAATCAAGATGTTATCCAGTAAGGACTGCTTAAAAATCAGGAAGGAGCTCTTTGCCTCTCAGTCATCACATACTTTCATTTTAGTAGCTAAGAAAGCAAGGATACTGCCATCAAGATTACAGCAAATTTGTAAAGGCGCTAGAATTTTTTTCCCGGAAGGGTTTTGAAAAGAGCAGCTGAGAAGTCTTAAGTGTTACACTAAGACTTTCTCCTCCTACGCTGATGACACGACTCAGAAAATCATAATGGCCATGTCACCTCCAGATCGGCAGATTTAAATTCCCTGAACTATTTATACACAATACTTTAACTGACTGTTTAATTCCCATTTTCGATAACGGGCATCGTAGAGGTCCGCCATTGTACCTATGCTGGGCTTTGCGGTATACAGGCCGTGCCGGCAGTTCTCAGTCCTTCTGTAGGCTGACAGTATCTATTCCGCCCTATTATTATGCCTTCTTTCGTCTTCAGGAAAGTCTAGGGACGCTGCAGTGGTGGCAACAGAAAGCGAGCCCAATCTTAAAGAACAACGATTCTGATTTCTCCCGGTAGGTGTTAAGTCAGCGTGACGGAATAAGTGCATACGCTGTGGTTGGGAGAAAATGACATCTACGATGGGAAACTGCCACTACAGTCCCCTGTCCTGCAGGAATGCTATTAACAATTGAGTCTACTCTAGCCGTGAACCATCAAAAAAGGTTCGTTGCAGAGCTGTTTATCATGCTTATGTAAAGGGGTCAATTATGTGAGCATCTGATACCACCTCCACCTCCTTACTAACTGCATAAACTTAGGTAGACCGATGTGGCCTGGGTAAAACTAAAGTGAGAATAAAGTGGCAAATTGGAACACAGGCGAAACCTTATCTCCGCCAAATTATTCCAAATCTCAACTTTGCTGTTGGTCCAATGTTTCTACAACCAACGATGGCGTGCATGCTGGCCAGCACATGCCCTTCCGCCCAATACACTTTCCCAAACATACTGAAACTCTACATCCAGTGGAATCGCCAAGGAGAACCAGTGACGTTGCGCTTAAATGTAGCCTCAGGAGCAAGCAAATTCAATAACTGGCGCAGCTGCTTCGCGGGTATTTTTCTTACAGCACCCGACTACGTTGCGATGGTGGATCAAGAGGAGCGCCGAGGACGCCGCTCAAACGAAAAGGGGCAGGGGTGGGGTTTGTGATACTTTGATAATTTGTTTAACTCTCGGTATTAGTATCAGACCCCTTAGGGCTCCACTCTTTTATCGCCGCTGAGCTGCCTGGCCTTCTCACCACGCCAGTAGCCCCTCAACCCTTCTCCAGGTAAACAATACATACTATTCCAAAGTAGCATGTCTTCCTTTGTCTTCAGGGAGGTCTCAAATCGCTTCATTTATATCATGTAGTAAAAAAAACTTTTAGGTTTTTAAATAAGCTGGCAGTTTTGTCTTATTTAAATATTATCAATCAGAACTAAAATATGGCAAGCTTAGCTGAAGAAGATAATCGAAAAACTTTTAGCATATATGCAAAACGTGCATAGTCTTTTAAAAATAAACAGCATTTTTCTGAAGTAACATTTCAAAAAAGCATAAATTAACTAAAATAGAAGCATTCCGATTATTCAATAAAAAACATCCCCTGAAATTTGAAGTAAACGGCAGTAAAGTGTTCCTCCGATAAGAAATGTATAAATTATGCAGTTAGAATCTTTTGCCTATTTTTAACATAACCGTTGCTTAAAGGCCTCAAAATAGTGCAAAATGTGTACAAGAAAAAGTACCGGAAGCCATAAATCCGTGTGACAGTGCATTTGATTGCTAATTTTTTATCAGTGCTGTTAAAGGAAGGACAGGTGATTTCGTCATGCAAAACATAAAGCAACTAAATAAGTTCGTGCGGCCTTTTACAACAAAAGCTTTATTTGTTTAAATAATCACCATTACAATTTGCCATCCACTACCAATGGGACACAAGGTAGCCAGTTCCACACTTATACGTTATTTTCTAAAAGCAAACGCCCTGATCCTCGTCATCTTGGTTTTCTGCCTCGCTCTAATTTGCCGACTGTCTACTCCCATTCTAGGGGGGATAATCATCACTCTGAGGAATAGAAGTGATGAGATCACGCAACTTCTTTTTATCCCATTGGGCAAATCTCATTAAGGGCCAGTTTTGTGGCAACATTGGATATTGCACTGCTCCGTGAGGACAGAATTATCTTCCGGTTGATTAGCTAGTCGTGCCCATTTTTCAAGAAAAATTTCCTACACATGATTGAGTTACATTGTAATAGTTTGAATGGTTTTTAACTTCTCGATTTGGCTACGCGAGCACTGAAGGTCACGGTCACCGGGCCATACCGCTAGCTACTCAGTCTATCTGGACATCCGAATACATATTCCACCCTATTATTATACCTTCTTTTGTCTTCAGGGAAGTCTCAGCGCGCTACATTGGTGGTGGTGGAAAGCAAACCCGATAATAAAGGGCAGCTGTCCCAATTTCTATTAATGAATGCTGAAATTTTATCGTGATGGAAGAAGGGCATATGGTGCGGGTGGGAGAATCAGTGGCGATCCCTAACAAAAGGATTGGAAATGACACCTATCTTCGGCAACTACCCCAGTCCCTTGTTCTGCAGGATTGCCATCAATAACTAAAGCGACACTAGCCATGAGCCATCTGGAAAAAAGTCATTACGAAGCTGTCTATGATACCTTTATGAAGATGTCAACTAAGTGGACACGCGACACCGCACTCTCTCCGCTAGAATCCAGACAGACCGATGTGGCCGGGCAGTAGTGAAGTGAAAATAAAGTGGCAAGGGATAATGGACGCAAAACCTTATCTCCACAAAACTCTTAAACCTCGTCCTTTGTTAAGTGATTCTGCCTTTGAGACAGCGTTTTTACGACTAGCGACGACCTGTACATTCCTCCTTCCCCCAATATAGGCTGGGACTTCAGATCTAGTAGAACTGTTCAGTGAAAACGGTGACGATGCAGTCAAATATCTTCCCGGTTGCACGCAAATTCATTAGCTGAAACGGTTGATTCGTGAGTTTCTGCCTTAGCACCAACTACGCTGTTATGGCCGTCACGGGAGGTTGACCGAGGGAAGCTCAGGGATGAAACTCAAAAGGGAGAGGGGCTATGCAATACCTTGATTGTTTAGCTTCTCGTCTTGGTTACGCGGGCAATGAAGAGCACGGTTACTGTACTGCCGCCCAGCGGCATGGTCCCCAAGCCATGCTAGTAGCCCCTAGCCCATCTCTATGACGATCTTACATATTCTACCTTCTTTTGGCGTTAGGAAAGTCTTGATGCTCTACAACAACAAGTTTTCTGAAGTATGTTGCGGTCGTAATTGTTACACCACCTTCATCAGAAAATGCAGGGTGAACAAACACGTCTGCTTTGCATAGCACACAACATAGTCGTCTTGGGAGGAGCTTGTGAGTGCCTTGGGATTTTGGGGTGGGCATTGACTGCATCATTCATGGACGACCAATAATGTATTCGGCCACTTAAGATGGAATGAAATACCGTTTTCCACCACAATTTGGTCATTAAATGGTCTGAAAATTGCGCGTATCTCTTCAACATACTTAAGAGATGTGAATAATGAGCATTATGTAGGGGACATCCATTTTCCCAGCTTCCACGAGTTCCCTTTCCCAATGAAAGTTATTTTTTCATTAACGTTTTAGACCATCCCTCAGCACTTTATTCTCAAGTCTGCTTCCCTTTATTATTAACAAAAAGGCGCCTTTCTGAACGTGATGGATCACCAGAATCGAAATGCATAAACTACATCTGAATATCATGTTCTGCTATCAAATCTTCTCTACATGCTAGACAACAAATTTGGTAGAAGGTTTGTGAAGCTTTGAAGAGCACCGAAATTCGTTTTCTTATGTAGACAGGTTTAACCGACAGTCTGTGGCATGAAGTTTCAAAATAAATTATGAGATGTTGGAAACGATGGGCTGGCGCACACCTATGCATGCATATGGACAATCGTGCTTCTTCTCTAAGTCCCCAAACCTTTCAAGACCTCACTACAATGACCTATACCAAAAAACCGCACGAACCTTTTGGTTGCCTGGTCCATCTGCAAGGCTCTTACCGATGAAAGTCTGCCTCATTTGCTTCTCTCGACAGACGTGGGTCACTTGGACTAGTTGCTGAGCAAAATACAGTATTAAAGAAAACACAAAAAGAAATGGAATTCATTTGACATACCAAAAGACCGTAAAATCCATTATTTTCCTCCCAAGGTAGAGGGCGTCTGCCTAGAACGATAAAAGAGAATTCTAAGTGTAATCTCCATGGGACCGCCTGAAGACATTCACAATGCTTTTCATTATGAATCAGACAATGTCGAATAGTGGAGCTTTTATCAGTCCTATTGAACTGGAAGTAGGTTATTACTGGTACCTAAAAGGGGCGACAGCATAATGAGAAAGCTCCATGGTAGCAGTGTGAAGGTCGAGCCCTGCGAAGGACTGGAAAGATCCACTGTAATGCCATTAGAGTCAAACACAGAATATCCATTCCAAAGGCTTGAAAAGAATGCTACATTAACGCTACTGTACGCGGCAGTGAGTCCGTACTTATCCCTATCAACTGACTCACGAGCCAATGAACAGCCCAAACAGCGTCAATTAGGAGAACAGATGACAGTCTATAAGAAGAATATGGTAATCGAGCTTCTTTTGAATAAAGGCGTAGAACCCGAGAATATTCATATCTGCGAAAGGCTGCGCAACTAGGCACAGAGATGGGACGTTAAGTAGCAGTTAAAAATTCGAACGTTTCAAGCGTTCCCAAGGCAGCCGTACACCTGCCTGTCTGTGCTAGACCCGACAGTGCTAGTTCTCAGCCCGCACCAGTAATTCCTGTGAACATTCAGCGAAGAAAACGTCTATCTAAACCCTAGGTAATTAAAGCATAGCCCGTAGTAAAATTGCACAGGTGACAAAATTTCCGTAGTAATGGGGAACACAACCATTTACGACCATTTTTGAATGCCACTTAGAACGGAAGTGGACCACTTCAGCTGTATCGGCGAATCTTTCTTATGCCAATGCTTTTCAGGAATGGCTGAGACACAAGGAATGACTCCCGCAAATACCCCAATTTCTACTCTTCTTCGTTACCAATTTATTGTGAATATTTAGGTGCCCCTTTGGATAATTTTCAAAAAAAGTAACTGACCAAAAGTGGATATATACACGCCTCTATCACTACCGCAATGGAGAAATTCATCCAACTCACCGCTTACAGTAGTTGAAATCTTCTCCTCAGGAACGGTATCAACGTCTTCATCGGTGCATTCTTTGGTAGAAGCCGCGTTTTCAGCTGTCTGGCTACTAGGACTAAGTAGGACCAGTACACGTTCATCAATTGTGAAAAGGGGTGCTCGATAGAACTTCTCCACCCATCCCCGTCGACGCATGCCCTCTCGAATGTGGCGATAGGGTCCAAGAACGGCGAAGATCTTGTTTTTCTGAAGTAAAAAGGCATCAGAAAGTCTATCAAAGGTGGATATATTATGCTGAAAACTTGAACTTGAAAAAGGAATAAGATTTATTTAGCTACAAAAGGCGGGAAAAGAACATTTCAAAGGGTGGAAATTGCATTAATTCATCGATTCACTTATCCAGCATGATTTAACTAAGACCTGAGAATCAACTTCAGTATGGAAGGATTTGTCTGCTCCACTTGCTCATCGGTACCGAAGTGTTGACATCAAAGAAAGGCTATCTTGGCAAATAGTATGGGCTAGCTTGTGTTCATCGTTTCCACGGAAGGAATTGTCACTTGAACAATTTCAATATAGGCTATGCGATGATTAGCCTGCCGAGGCTATGGACTGGAAAACACCACGTTTGGTGTGGCTACTGACAAATAGACGAGCGGACACAGGGCTGTCTTTGAAACGTCCACAACAGTAAATTCAAATGTCCTACTCTACTGTACCGTAGTTAAAGCTTTTTTGCCTATGCAAATGTTCGTGGATTTCACGTCCTTCTTCATAAAAACATTCATCACAAGTGTTGCCTGCCATTTTGATTGGCGGTGGCTGGGCTAGACTAGGCTGGACCGTGGCATGCGGGCTGGTGTGCATCCCCTTCTAGCATTGGGAAAATTAAAAGCCCCTTCTCATTATTTTCTCCTTAACTTAATTCTCGTTGAAAGCGGAATGGGAGCTTTTTAAGCATTGATGATTTGTAAGTCAATCACACTTTCATTCGACACTTCATAAGGGATACTTCCAGCTCTCTGTGATGGCCTTAGTACTAAAAGCCCCTCGACAGAATTGAATCAGAGGTCGACAATCCCCATTTGCGGTGACAGAGCGTGAGCACGTCCCAAAGATAGTTAACAACTCGGAATTACCACCTTATGTTAGTGATTACAAATGTGCATTACTATCTACTTTATAACCAAAATAGTGACACTTCTTGAGTTTTTCAGCCTGCTATTCACCATTTCTTGCAAAGAACAAGCAGATTTTTCTGCACTTAATGAAGCCGAATCCACATTCCTTTAAATAACTTCGTCTCCCAAGACGTGGTGCAGAAGTTGTTAAGGGAAAAAGGCAGTTTTTTTGCGTGTATCAGAAATTATTTCAGCATGGAATTATAATGACTCTTCTTCACGAAAAAAAGACGAATGAATGAGGTGTACTTTTACTTTGTATTCGTAAACAAATGAGAGATTAATTTTGTTTTAAGTTATTTTACATTCAAACAACAATGAGGAGCATCAGATTAAGAATAAAAACACGGGAAACAACCAAGAAATTTAAAGCACAGGTATTCATGTCTTCAAGCTTGTGTTTTCTTGGACACTCACCTCGTCAATGCGTTGCTGAATTCAACTGGTAGGCTTTTAATGTGTCAGAGGAAGGTCAACACGGAAGATTAGAGGCTATACTTTTTTATCACAACAACTGATCCTCAAAAGCCGAATTATTACCATTCGTCCTAGACTAAGGACACACCACGCCTGTCTCGCGGTCTTAAACTCAACCGATCGGTTCACATTACGATTATGATAAGAAAATCGGAGAGTCACATATACGTGACTCTCGTAGAAAATGTAACAAGATCGTCATGAGTCAGGACACGGACAGATCCGGTTTTGCGGAAGCGGCCGATTGGATGTATGTAGCAATCAGCATCTGCTCTACACTACAAGCAAAAACACTTGCTGGAGGTATATTTTTTCCCAGTAATGTCCATCTTGCGGCGTGGTTGATATCCCTGTTTCACTGGTTCCTCCACACTAGGGGGACCAATTTTCCTCCAAACTCGAAACTTAATCTGCTCATATTATCCATACTTTAATCAAAAATTCACTCAAGTAAAGCTACGATATCATCTGGAAAAAGCATGCAAAGTGCAAACTCAAAAAAATGCTTTTGAGCCAATTTAGCTGAGATACCCATCTTGCCTTGGGCTTCGTGCTAGAGAGGTGAATCTGGGCACACGTTTTTCCTCCTTCCCGAGTCATTGTTTACTAAAGCTGTCAGAGAAGACGACGAAAAAAGTTTGATTTAAAATGCTAAACTAACGCAAAAATTGCACTATTTAGAATTAGACAATTTAAAATTAAGAGGTAAACTGGACTCGCCCAGAGAAATCCCTTATCAAAGAAGCTAAAAGAAGGAACTTGAGTAACTTAAGCATATGCTTTCGCAAGGAAAGAAACTAAAGCATTTCCAAAAGATATAACATCCCATATTTTCTTTTCCAAAAATCAACAATTTTTAGTATTTCCCTGACACTTTATTGGTCTAATTCTATTGGACGGAGTCCTAATTTGACTGGATTACAGATGAGTGCTCAAAAAGGCACCAATAAGCCTTTAATTAGCCAAATCATGTTTCTAGTAATAAAGAGTAGGTTATTACGGTGGAAATAAAAAGTAGTGGAAGTGGAAGAGGGGTGATCGCTTTATAATTTGCTTCATTTGGCGGTTGTGCAGAGAAGAGGCAAAATAAAACAGAGGGCTTTCCGTATTTTTTAGCAGACTTTCCTCTAAAAATGGTGGAAAACCACTACATCAGGTACAAAACTGTTCTTTCACAGGTCTTGTACATTTTAGGTAAGACATTTTTTCCGATCTCATGTCACGTCAGTTAATAGACCATTGTGAGTGATCAGTTCTTCAACTTCGAAAAGTGGACTGAAACAATCGCAAAGTAGATCAAAGTGGAGACATTGAAACTGCGAAAGAAATTTATTTAAAAGCAAAACAACTTCTTAGGGTAGTAATAAAGAGGAAATCGGCGCCTATTCAGACCGTACATGCGACAGAGCATCAGACACATTACTTCGCATGGTTTACCGCAATAAATCACTACTGGGCAAACTCCTTATAAGGCATACATTCCTGTCCTTTTTAAAAAAGAGAATCAAATTGGATTCTTGTTTAAAATGCAACAGAGGATCGTACAACTAAATTGCCTTTTTTCCTCACCGAAGTTGGGTGTGGCATAGAACATCAGGGTAAACTTTTCCAGATCTAAAACCACAATCTAGAGATCACAGGCTTGACATTAGCAATTTTTCAGTACTGGTAAATAACAATATTCGTCTGGGGTCATAGAGTGTAATCAATCGACACCATTGACTGAATTACAGGTTCGTTGAGGATAGCCAGCAACAAAAATGATCAGCAAGTGAAAAATACTATTCAAAATTCAGTTTTCTCCTTAATGGAGCCACAACTAGATTCCTTACCTATGACCAACGAGCCGACTGCTACGTCAAGGGGAAATTGTGCTGGGAGCACGGATTTGCCTGAATCAGCAAATATGCCCAGTAGAAGATTATGCTCCCTAAGGAATTCCATCACTGGAAAAAGACCATATGGGAGTGCCCAACATAGAGACCTCCAAAGGCGAAAACAAAGGACTACCAGCTGGAGGGTCTACAGGGCTATTTAACATAAATAATGGATCTATCAACTTTGTTTTTCATAAGATGGGTAGAATTAGGTGGCTAAAACACAACGAATTGCTACTCCTGTTAACAACAACCTCATATCACCAACCCCATCAACAAAATGGGAGAAGCTTTTCAGCACCGAGTCCTTAACTAAACAACAAAATTACTCAAATTTTTATAAAAACTTAGATATTTGAATATAAAATGACAGATGTTGTTTTAAGATACAATTGTCCTTTTGAATTTAACCTAACGGCACTTTTGTTAACCTAAGTCAAATGTGAGATTTCCGACTCCTTCCAAAATTTAATCAACTGCTGGGTTTACAGTCCGGAAGTCGTTCAAAGTAAACCCTGCGCATACCCCCTAATGCCTTCAGCACTTTAATCTCGACCAAAAAAGTGAATGAAACACACTTGGACATCAAATGCCAGAATTTTATGGCACCTAACTCAAAGATCGGAGAAGTAGATGACCGTTGCTACAGTAAGGTGTGATAGGCGTTCAGAAAAACTCGTTAAATGTGTCGTCCCATTAAAATTTGAAAAGGCTGGGTGAGGAGTAGCGGCAGGTCGTGTCTTTGCATGTAATGTGACAACTTCCGGCTATCCTAGGGGAGTAGTTTAGGATTTATTATTCTAAGGCAAAGGCAGATTGTCTCTATTGAAGTTGTCTATTAGTGTATAGAACCCTATAAAAATAGTCAAATTGCTGGCATGATGGATGCAGAGTGCCTCAAACGTCCAGAAGACAACTACATAAATTGAAGAGGTGATCTGCGAAGAGCATAAGAGGAATAGATAAGTCTTCAGAAAAAGTGGTCATGTGTAGTAATTTTGCCCATATCATACCTTGCAATAAAGTTTTCCCCAGTTACGTGTCGGCAAATATCAGAAATTTGTGACCCAAGACCCGGCGTAATCTGTTTTTAAAGCCCTTCTAAGTTATCATCAGGTGTGGAGCAACTTTCTGCAATCGTTACATAGCAAAAGTTACGTTACAACGTAACGAACGGACGCAATAAAATTTTCTAAGGTAGGAGGCTGTTAAAAAATATGCTAATTTAGTGGATAAATTTAAAAAATGTACACAGGCATTTGTAAAAAACATGCGGACGCTGTTCAACCAGTCATGCATTCTGCTGCAAGTTGGAGTAGAAGTATATCATTCTTTACTGCGATTTCCGTCCGGCAAGTAGCAACAATTTTTAGCAAAAAATATTTAAGAAGGCAAGCAAGGGGTAGAAAGAAGCGAAAATACGAGTGCTAGGAGGATTAGCAACCAGCAAAATACTTCCAGTTAGAAATGCTTGAAAGTACACAAATTTGTGGTTCAGAATTTGGTGTATTTGAAGGGAGTCTTTAAGTTCTCACCTTGATTGCTTCATCTGCAACACTCTTTGCCTTCACAAGGACAGCAGGATCCACAGTACAGACAGTAGGTTTCGAGTTCCGTCGACTGGCCAGTAGGCATGTGGCAGATCCCGCAACAATTCCATCCACTCCTTCAGCATTGGCACTACCACTGGTGCCATTCTGTCTGCTGCAACCACTGACCTTGGATCTGGGACTTAAACAGTCGTCCGGACTTCGTTTTTTTGAAGCAGGAGCAGTAGAGGGTGGCAGGGGCAACTTTGCTCCAGGAATAGACGTTTTGGTCCGGGTAGAAGACGACCCATGGACGGCAAAGATCGGAGCTTCTTGAGAGGATGCAGTTTGTGCAGAATCGTCTCCTTCAAGTTGTTTTAAACTGGTGCTCATGCTGTGATTCACCTCAGGAGATTCGACGCAAGCGAAGTGGATTGTGGCCAAATGGTTACCATAGACACTGACAGTACCTGCAGGGGGCGGATCCGAAAGACAGACTTCGTCGAAATGATGAAAAGGCAGGTGATTTGAGATGAGTGGCGCAATAGAGACGAGAGGATGCTTGAAGTGACGCCTTTCTAGACTGCGTCTATGCGAAGCTAAAGAGGACAGAAAAGTGAAAGGAACTGCACATGCACATATTCTGGTGGTTGGATCAACCAATGGAGTTTGAGCAAGCCTGTAATTGGTTTATGATTGTTAGTAGTCTTGTGATTGAATCATGACTGGTGAAGACACTCGGGACCTACCATTAGATTCGGATCTTATGTCGCCTTTTTTTAAAGTCTTTTGAAACAAAGTAAATAGCAAGAATTTACCAAAGATCACAATCTGATGTTGAAAATGCCAAGGCAAATAGCTAATGGACTATTCGATGAATTGACGCATTGAAACTCCGTTTTAAATCCCACTTTCATTAGCTGACCAAAATAAAGACCTAATCCAACGCATATGCAAATAATACTCGCCTTAAATAAGTTGCAAAGCGACAAGCACCTTGGATCATTTCAAATGATTAGCAACTCACGAATCGGTCCTGGGACGGAATTGCGTTCATTGAGAGGCAAGACTAGCGTGCCTTTGGCTGAAATTTTCCGGGCCAAATACTCCATAGGAAGTTCTGTATGCATAGCATTGTAATTGCTAAAGTGCTTTGAGGAGAGCAAACTGGAAAAGGCTCTGGTGAGACCCAGGGAGTTGGAGCGTCGGGGAAAAGTCATATTGCGGCATCAATGAATCACTCAAAATAATACCGTAGTTGCCTTAGAGTCCCGCTTATCAATACGGTATCAGGAATACATTAATGGTTGGAAAAATAATATCTGAAATTTAGTCAAAAAGCAAAAGTTTTGGGGGAACCACAGCTTTAAGCATAAGTGTTGTAGATTTTCACAAAACAACTATTGGCGTGCCATTCTTAAGCAAACTCTTCGATTGGGTAGTGTGACAAAAACGGAATAACTAATGACCATAAGATGATGCACAAACTATCTTAGGTGCAAGCGTAGTTTCCACTAGCTAAGAACTGGCTACAAAAATGATAAACCTACTGTAACAAAAATACCCTTACATAACTTGTCTTAAAGAATAACTCGACATTTGCAACTAAATTGGCCCTACTACAATGGGTCCACAAAGTTACTACTTCATTATTTGTTCGTCTTTGTACACGACTTTGCATTCTGTAAAAAGTAACTAAGAAAACGAGCTGACCTAAATTGATGCAAGAGTTGGCACAATAAGCTACTTAAAACTATAAGAAATTATTATAAAAGTTCAAGTTATCTGACAAACATCGGCACACAATACCATGACTACTTCACTTTACTTGGGCGGGCAGTATGACCTTGAAATCATGTGATCGCCAGCTGCAAACTTTAAGACAATAGTAGCTTAATTTTTCAGAGTGTAACACTCTTAAAAGGTTAAAATATTTCTACGTGCATTTTTTCGCTCGCCTGCTTCAGTTTTAACGCCAATTTTTAAATAACTGCTAATTTGTTACCAAACAAAACATATTGGGGGAAAAATGGGCATCAGTCAATAAAACAGACTAAAAAATATGTATTTGTCTCTTAAAACTTGCCATGATTGCTAATTTTTTACTAAGTTGTCAAGTCTTATCCTCTCTGATTGAGCGGTATTATGAAATATTTGTATGTAATAGCGTCGCCTATAATAAGAACCTAAACTGCGTTCCCTTACGAATCTTTAATTTCGCGTCTCATCTTATTATCTTCTTAACATCTAGTAAAGTTCCTGATTAGATAAAATGATTACCAAATGGGGTGCCTGTGCTTCTAATTCTGGTCAAACCGAATTGTGACTCAAAATGGGTTTGGCATTAGTAAGCCACCGCAGATAAGCTGAGAGCTAAGATGCCTTGTTGTAGGAAAAAAACACATTCTGCCCACATTTGAGAGGAATCGCAGGAAATTGGTAGCTTGTAGGTTTAGGCACGGCTTAGACAATTATCGGCTTATCATAACTTCCCTTTCGGGTGTCGTTTCCATTGCTCCTTGAAGTCACTCAGCCAATTTGTCCATCACAGTGTAGTCAGGTGCAAAAAAAAGACGAAAACAAGCCTTATGTGAGGCTTTTACGTCACCTTGCATCACAGTCCGCTTCCAAATTGAGTTGTAAGGCGTCAAATTGACTTCTAGTTTTCAAGGTCTCATGACATTTGTATGAAAGTCACTACTCCCACAAACGGTTAGTGCTAAGGGTGGCAAAAATAATTTTATTAAACTAACACATTTATCCATCCTTTTCTTCCCTTCAATACCACCCATTCATCTATCCGATCTACCTTCGAAATCTTGCAGCATAGAGATATCGTAGATAGTTCATTTACGTCCACCCATCATTCGGCATTGTGTCCCCAAAACTGAAAAGAATTGCCTCAGATTGGCATGGCTTCAACAGGATTGCTAAAGACTCAACCGTCTACGACAAATGTTCCACCTCCGAAGTCACTGTTCAGCGAAATCTAGATGACGGTTTACCTGGAATTAGTTAGATTCTTACTGTCACAAAAGTAAAGTAAGTGTTGCCTCTAAAGATGCGCCTTCATCAAAAAAGTCGAGAATTTCTATGAGACCGCTTGAACTGCTGAAACAATTATTGTTTCCGTCAATACCAGGTTCCAAAAAATTATTACGATTTTCGGTAATAGATGGCCGAGGTGACTTGTTGCAACTGAAGGGACTTATAAAGTGCACTTCGATGCATGCATTATGAAAGTACCTATGCACCATTCTACCTGTACTTTGAAACCTTGAAGAATGTCATTTAAGCTTGATGGACTTGATCCAGGCCTGTGTGCTTTCCAAACTGGGGTTGACTTGCTTGCAAAGTTGCAGAGGCTTTCTGTCAAATTTTGGGGATATAAGGCAGTAGAAATTGCTATCTAGGAATTATGTGAATGATTTTATCTCGGTGACGGAACATTAAAGGCGTGTTCCTCATGTTCTAGAAGATATTATCTCCTTTTTAGTAGCAAACAATTGGCATATTCAACATCAGTGATGAGCCAATTTGTATGCATCTGCAGCATCTTCAAGGGGGTAGTGGTGGAACCTGTAACTTGTATCACAAATGTACTTCAAGGATCATCCGGTCGTTTTCGTTTTTCATTCATGATTTGTGTGCGGATGTGTATGAGAAGGGGCTTCAGGCACAATCATTCAGTAGAAATTGTTCCTTTCCTGAAGATATCGTAGCTACCAAGGAAGAGGTCACCCCATTTGATACAATTTGTCACTAACCAGGACTGAATGGTCAGTCAATGGAAAGAAGACCCTACCTCTGAAAGGACCTTGAAATGCACTTACGATTGGGGCTGAAAGGAGACGCTGTTGTCCCTCCTACTCCGTTTTCTGTGCTCATCCCTACACCAAAAAATTTTCATCTTTTGTTGCCTTCAACATTCAGCAAAATGGGGTAGCCGGCTGGGAAACGAAAGCAGAATTATCAAAACGGAGTGTCTAGAGCCAGGTATTTTACCCTTAGACACTCGGCACTGCAAAAAGTTAAAATCTGAGAGCTCTTTCCATGTTGAAAGAATCATAGATTACAAGGGAGACGAACTTATTTCCTTACCTTAACAGCCTTTCGACGAATTCCTCTCCTGTTATGACTTCTTTTTTCACAGCCAGTCAGGCAGGCATAATCACCAACAGAGGCAGTTGTCATCTTTGAGGGCATTCACATTTCCAAGTGTTCGGTATCACACATCTCCTCGAGGATAAGTGGCATTAAGCGCCGTGTATAATTACAAATGTCAATGGAGACTAGTCAGTAGTGTAGCCACGTTGGCCTTTTCACCGTTTGACAGATTTGACTAACAGTTGTGTAAGTTGGACAAATTAACTGTACACTACCATGGCTCATAATTGGGGAGATATTGTGGAAAGATCTTGTCATTTCTCCTCCCTTTTATTGCAAAAGTTAACCCATTTAAGCATTGTGCCAAAGGTACCATTCAAAACGGATCGCCTACTGAATGAACTGCATTGAGAGATTAGAAGGGAGCAAATTTTAGTTAATTTAGACATAAAATTCCACTTACGGATCGGTTGTTGTGGTGGCTTTGTGCTCTACAATTGACTTTACGCAGAAACTATACTCCTGTCACCTATTCACATCCACAAAACACCTGAAAATGAAAACTTTTCTATCAGCTTTTTTGTGTACTAAATTTCAGTTTAGAGTACGAGTGAAATCCGATTCACGTGTTTAAGAGCTTCAAGCTAGCTTTTTAAAACCTATAGTGAAATATCAAGCCTTAAGTAACAATTTTTTAGGGACCTCTTTCCAATCTACAGCTAAATCACTTTTTCCATGACTATCCTTCTACGAATGGCTGTTGTAAAATTACCCGACTATTTCCCGCATTTCACCTAAAGAGCTAACTTGTTTTAGAGGTCTGGAAGTTGTAGTTATAAATGAAATTTTTCTATAAAATTAAAGTGGAGGAAATGTACTGTAGCGCCCGGAGACTTTGCCGAGTATGAAAGCCTGTAAATGTACTGCTGGCGTACAGAGGCTGCTGGCATAGCCCGGAGAACATTCCTCCCAAAGGAGGTGCAATAGGGGAGCTCTAAGTGGCCCTGGGAACCAAAACAAAGAGTTATACAAATAAATTAAATAGTACATAGCCCCCATCTCCATAAAAGCGTCGTCTCTGGCACTCCCCCTAGTCAATCTCCCTCGTCAGCCATCACAAAGCAGTCGGGGCTGTGAGAAAATCATCAACCATCCAGCAGCGTCAGTCATGGAATTCGCGTGTAACTGAGAAGACAACTGACTGTAATATCACTAATCTCTCTTGGCATTTCCAATGGATCTGCAAGTTCAGCCTGTTTAAAACCTACATTGGAAGACGAGGGAGCTAGTTAAACATCACACAGTTCCATCACTAGTCGGAAGCCCTCTTGATTAAAGGCAGAGGCATCTAATAAATAACAGGGCTTAATAATAGTTACGGGAGGTGAAATTTTGCATCCATATCTTCTTCTCACGTCGTTCTCACAATAAGCTATTTTACTTCTATCCAGCTAGTGGGGAGGTGGAGGAGACGTCGCGTGTTTATTTCATTGATACCTCCTGCGGGTACCGTAGGCGGCTCTGTAACTAACTTCCCAGATAGATCACAGTCACTGTCTCTTCAGTAGGCAATAGCGTTCCCGCAGAACACGGGCTGGGGTAATTGCCAAAGGGAGACGTCATTTTTAACCCTTTATTAGGAGTCGTCACAGATTCTCCCATCCTTGGCATATGCTCTCCCCCAGTCATGTTAAGGTTTGACGTTCAGCAATATGGCACCGTGAGACTTCCTCTTTAGATAATAGAAAACAAAGTGCCAAAAGCAGAAGGGCTGGAGGATCTACTGGCATGGCCCAAATGCCGTGCCGCCCAATGGACATACAATGGCAGGGAGAGAGTTAACTAAACAATAAAGTATTACAGTATTGCACCCATACTTATCCAGTTCCTTGGCTGTACCACTTTCGAGGTTTACTACACACAGCCCTTTAAGTGTTCCCCTATTACCGTCAATGAACCCAGGTAAACTCTTACTCTCCCTCTTATAGAAGTTTAATTTTTATTTCAAAAATAGCGGAAGCATGGAACTGCATAAGTCAGGCTCAAATAGAAAGAAATTGTGTGATTTAATGTAGCTACAGAAAAGAAAAAAGGATTTACTGAAGCAACAAAA